AATAGTTGGGAATACAATAGTGTTGCGCGCGCATCTGTCACTAACTCGCCTCTGATTGGTCGCGAGTGCGGCGTGCGCGCACCCTACGCACTGATTTCCACGCTGTTGTCCGAATCAATACCGAAATTCGATATAACGGTTAATGTACGGCTTTATCGCAATGTTTTCAGATAAAATGTGCATTCGTATAAATTTTATAAATCCTTTCATGGTTTTATTGATGGAATAATAAAATTGGCGACGACGATAAAAAAATGTGTATTGTACTTATGCTTATTGTTTAGTTAGCACGTTTCGTTTTATAATTAGTTGTTGAAATAAGCTGCGCATGCACTTTATAGTCTAAGTGACCTAACTTGAAAGTTGAAACAAAGGTGTATCAATGGTCCTCTCTCGTCGAGGTATAAACAAAGCTACGTATCGTGGGAACGCTGACGTCGCTCGGAAGGATGTGTTCACATTCGAGTGCCACGTCAGAACACACCTTTTGTAATTGTTTCCCTTTTTTCTAAATGGGGATGTAATGAGGTTTATGCTGTGGGAACTGGGAACTCCATGGTGTAGTCAACTAGGATAGGTACCAGAGTAGTCTCGTATGTTTTGGAGATTGCAAGTTTGAGAAGAAAGAAAAAGAACTGGAACTGCGTTACTATTTTGCTATAATAATAGTGATGTATGATAATGAGTACATAAAATACTCCCATCGTGTATTCAAGAGTACTCAAAATATGTTTTGTTTTTGTATCTATTGTCGCTTTTCTAAATAACATGGACCAGACCGTATTTCCCATAAGAAATTTATGATTTTGAAACTGAACTAAACCAATAAATCGACATAACAATGAATCTTATAAAATTATAATGACTTTATATAACACGATGACCTAGAGTTGCAAAATGGTGAATCATGCAAATATGTATATTAACAATGCAAAAATATATTAATAATTTAAAAAAAATATTTGACTTGATATCAATTCAACAAACTTTTACGGTCTGCAACAAATCAATATCATCTTCAGTCTGTGCCATTCCAGTCTCCACTAGTGGCTTTGTGCCTCCTCCCGGCCTGTATCTATGAAGAATTTGCCAAATTCTGTTACGCTTGGCAGGCGGGCTAGAGATCGAAGTTTAAATGATTAAGGTTTATCAGGAACCATTTCTGCTTCTGTTAAATGACGGTCCCGGTAAGAGTAGGAGTACCTAATAGGTAACATGTTTTACTCTGTCATCACGACGCGTCAAAACAAATGAATTATCAAATTAAAAATATACTGAACGTCTGATCCAAAAATGTTACATAACATCGCGCCTTTTATCCGCGAAGGGCTAAGCAGAGGTTGCGGCACTTAATGCCACAATGTAACACCCACTTTTCATTATTTGTGTAATAGGGGGTGATTGCCATGTACCGGGCACATTTTACAAATTCTAAGCTACTAAAGAGATTAAAAAAAAAATATTTTACCCGACCCAGGAATCGAACCCGAGACCCCTTGCCCGGGGTCGACCGAGAACCAAATATCTATGTGAAAATAATGCATGGGTATAGTAACCCATCAATGACAGTGCCATGCCAGTCATGGTAATACCATGTGATGTTTATAGGACGTGTTTCTATCAATTGGTGTAACGAATTACCTGTGTTTCCCATAGATGCAATAAACATTTGTTGATTGGTTCTCACGCCGGCGCTATTTGTTTTAAAATCGATATTAATGTGATGCGAAAGTAATTTGGAATAGCTTGTAACTTTATTTTTTTTTTATGGAATTGGAGGCAAACGAGCAGACGGATCACCTGATGGTAAACGATCAGCGCCGCCCATGGACACCCGCAACACCAGAACAGTCACAGGTGCGTTGCCAGCCCTTTAAAAAGGAGTACGCTCTTTTCTTGAAGGATGTAATAATAATAATAAAATATGTTTTATTGTACACCACACAACTGCAGTATAGGATAATATTAACAAAAATAGTGTACAATGGGCGGTCTTATAGCACAGTGCAATTTCTTACAGACAACCTTTGGATGGAGCAGTAATAGGAGTCTGATATAGGTCGTCAAGTGTACAATAATTAATAACTATATAAAATACTATATATGTTATACAAAAATACTAATATAACTCAAAAAATAAGTAATATATAACATACAATATGATGTATAAATTACATAATGGTGGTAATATATATTACCTTATCGATTAACAATGTTGAAGGGCTCACAAATTATTCACATGGATCGATTTAAGTGCGGTTTTCTAAAAGATTTTTAAGATTTATTTTCATTTTTATATTATCTTTAAACGTTTGGCTTTAAACAAGGATATTTAGATTAACAATAGTGTGCATACTAAATAATACAATTTAAAATTAACTAAAACTAAAACATAAAAGAAAAAATTTAATTCCGTCAGTTAGGCCTCAAAAAATTCGTCCGCATCACTGTCACACATCACACACGTGCCCAGAAGACTGACAGCATTGCCATGTTGAATGGCAATGGTTATTTTCTGTCCAAAGAAATAGTAAAGTATTTATTATTATTATCGTCATGATTAACCCATTTTCGGGCCACTGCCTATTTGGCACTATCTATATAGGCCACTATTCAAAGATTTTTAAAATTTTACTAAATTTACAGCCGTACTGAGAGATGTTGAATTAATACTTAAACTATTCTTTAGTAATGGTTCTGAAAACAGATGTTAACAAGACATTAAAGACTGAGTTCAGTTAGACTTGAGAAAAAGTTTAGATTCGCATTACTGCCTTTTTATTACAAAATTAATATCGATCTACCCACGCCGCTCAATAACACAGCAACTACTTGTAATGTCATCGATATCGACAAGTACTATTCAATTACACGTCCAGCCGGCAGTAAGCGACACCGGTAGCGTAGGATGCGCCTGCGCAAGCTTCCGGCGCGTGCGTGAGTATGGCTTCGTAGTTCCGCTACCACACAAACTTAATATTACCATCGAGCCATACAAAATTCAGCCTTATTTCGTAACTGTTAAATGTTTTGGTAGGTGTTTAAGTAAGTTTGTGTTTTAGTCTAATTAGGTCGTTGTCGCGCATGCGCTAAGCCGGACACTTGAAGGGGATTTGGAGTACTATCTAGTATGTCATATGTTCCTGTAATGGAGTTGTCGGTATGTCTAGTAAGTACGTGCTTGGTGATGGCTACACAATGGTAAGTATTGCAAGGTTTCTTTTGTTGCTGATGAGGTCGTAGACCTTTAAATGGGAGCTGCTCATAGAATAGTACATTAAATGTATAAATGCGTGATATTCTTCATTTGGTAGGAATGGTATGAGAGGATGTTGATGTAAATGTAAAACTTTTTAAAATTGATTCATTAGATTTGTAATTCAATAATAATAATTAAATTCGATAGATTTGTGATAATTATTTTTTTAATTTCAATGGATGACATAAGTTTAATAGATAAATAATAGAAGTGACATAATTTGGGTTATATTCTTTCTATTTAAGTACTCTGACTCCGTATCTGTGATTACAATCTACACAACTATTCAACCAAAGAACATCTAACGCGGAACCTCACTAAACAGATTGGGCAACATCTAAATAAACTACATCATACACGATAGAAATCTAATAAGAAGTAAATTGCTAAACAAAAGGCTGCAGACAAACTTGCGACTGAGTCGCAATCACATTGACGACTCGCGACAATTGCACTGATTACACAACGCGGCCAGTGTGCCGCATTAATTGAATTCTCCAGACTCATGATTCAATTACATTCAATTATTTTCTCCAAGCCATGGGCGGCTTTGGGCGGGGCGTCATCTGATTGGGCGTCGCTCCAGGGCGGGCGGCGACCAGAACCGCCCATTGAAACATATCGCTGCGTCTCCTTTTACGCTGAAAATTTATTTATTTTATTTTTAAATACAAATGGACAAGCTTTTATTAAAATAGTAAAAGGTTTCATTATTTTTCCATTAATACGCATATATTTTTGTGAAGAATTATTTTTCAGTTGTTTATAAATTAAAATCTACTCACATGAAGAACAAAAGACTCCTTACACCAAACCATTTATAGGTATTTGTAAAGCGCCTTTATCTACAGACAAAATATATGGGCTACATAACCAATTAGTAGTTATGTAATAAAATGTAGAAACTACCTTGAAATTAGTCAAGTTCATGAAAAACATTTAAACGAATTACTACTGAAAATCACTTCGAGAGGACATCCAACACAAATAATAATTTGTTCTACAAAATATTAGTATATAAATAAAAGAAATCCCAATACAAGATTACAATACCGTAGCAATTTATTTTTGATTTCGTAATTAGTAATTCTCAACCCTAACACACAGCAGTTAAGTTTAACTTTTGAAAGTTACCCAATAAAGAAGATCTCTACAATTTATATGTAATCTTAGAGATAAAAAGGTTTACCACATCAGCTTGTATATTTCAAAATAACCTTAAATATAGATGCAACTAGATAGTTTTTACTATTGAAAAAAATATCTATCAACTTAAACTTATTTCGAGTTGCAAGTGAATAATACCAAGGTACGGTACACATGTGGGTCTTATCAGTAATCGGTATTACAAGGTAAAGGTTTAAAAAATTCCAAGTAGATACTTGTGGCGTGTGTATGGGGGCCCATGTTCCGGGTCCATGCTTGTATAGTGTGTTGTGGAATTTAAAGGTACGGCATATCTTTATTGTCCTAGAAATTGTGTTTAAAATGTATATTAATAAGCGGAATTTAATCTTTTGCTATTAATCTTTAGATATATATACGTTTTTGTGCACGGTAGTAGTTCCCAGTTAATAGGCCATAGGGTAATTCCACTCCCACCACATCAACTTTTACTATTATTATTCCGAGTCCAAATCAGGTATAAAGTAAAATAAGTACACAATGGTTTGACAGCACCCTGTGCAGGGGTTACGGCGGCCGCACGCGCCAGGGTGCTCACCCTGCGACAGCCCGCCAGTCGAGTCCCGACCGCCCTGCCGAGCGGACCGCGCACCCCTAACTAAAAACCACCGAAGTACACGAACTTTACAGTACGATCTCATTTTACAAAAAAGTTTAAAGATAGAAAAAAATAAAAAAAAAATTCTCGTTCCGGTTTTGAAAGTTTTGTTTTAGATTTTTTAGTTTTTTTTTTCGAAGTTTTCGTGTGCAGGGGTGTCGCCGGGTGATTCAGAAGAGGACCAGACTAAGGTATGAGTCACTTACATTAGTTTTCGCCATAGTAACACCCTCACCACGCACCTGCGTTTCGCCTTGCACGTGGGCGATTGGCATCTTGCTTTGATTTCGTTGCAATTTTGTTTATAATGAAAACCCTTGTGAACTAATATTTTTAAAACCCTTGGTCTTTCTGCAAGGAAGTTATGTGATTTATTTTTGAGTAAAATATTGCGTTGCTTTTTGCCTTCACTATGATGATTTCACAAAAGAATAGATTTTTTTAACAAACTTTCAAGGAGTTTTAATTTTGTGTGCCGTATCGTGATTCAAGTGCGAAACCTCAAGTACAATCATATTAACATCTATTACAATATAAGAACACTCGGTTTTAGGTTTCAAATCGATATTTTGGGTTGTTTTACCTTATTTTCGTAGCTACAAACTTCTAGCAAACTTTCAACAAATTTTGCTCACACGTAGTATGAATATCAGTTATCATACGCGGCTATCGGTAACTAAGTTAAAGTTAGGTGAAGCCGGACACAACACAAGTTAGCCGGAGCTAATCATAGCTACGAAATCTTGTAGCCAGCCGCTACGAGATTTCGTAGCCTCGTAGACACAGATTTGTTAGAGAAAGGGGTGTTATATTTTGTGTGGTACCTCATTTGTTTTTATATAGGGTTTGATAAAGATGGGAAGTATGTAATTTAACTGTTAAAAATGTTCAACTGTTGTTTAATTGGAAGTAATAAAGATCTTGTTATTCATGTAGTTTCAGTTGATTTTTTTACCTCTGAGTGCGTTTATCGTTTATATTTTAAAAGGTGCTTTTTTCTGTAGTTAATTATTTCTAATATTTGCATAGCTAAGTTTTGTGATTTATTAAAAGGTTTTAAAAAAATGTCCCCTATTATTCATCCATTATTTTTTGCCAAAGACTGTTTAAAAGCTCAAACAAGAGGTCAAGGTGTACTTTTAAAACTTTTTCCAATTGTTGTTTCCAATATGATTCAGGTTTATGGTATAACATTGCGTATGAAATATAGCTATTTTGTTAAACATATCGGACAGTAAAAATACTTTTCATACTCGAAAAATCAAACAGAATTCAACAAGCACACTAAACTCAACGACGACACAATTATTACATACAGACAATTAATAACACTATCAGAACAACATAATAACCACTTACAAAGACATTAATTAAACAAATCTAGTTCCAATTTTCACTTCAATAAAAGCAGTGTCACACTGACGGCGAGAGTGAACAGTTATTAATTATATGTAATTAGTTTGACACCTCGAAGTGACCGTGAGTACACGCCCTAATAACTGAGGACAGATACTTAAGAATTCATAGATAACGTAACATACTAATTATTAGTAATACTTCTCGTATTAGTATTATAGAGATATGCTGTTCACTAATATGTTATTTGTAACGGATTTGTGTTATTTTATTCATACGGCCTATTTTGTGATCGTAATGGTTTTATTTGTTAAGCAACTGACTTAATAAACGTTATCTTGGCTTATTGCGATATTTTTCACTTTTCTACAATCTTTTGAGGGACATTGAAATTTAAGTATGTTAATCCTAAGCATTCAATTATATTTATATTTTTTTTACGTACGAAAAATACTCAGTAGTAGCCCGGAGTCTGGAATTGTACCCGGTATATGTCAATAGGCTCACCCCTATTACATGGGACTTGTAATATAAATAATGAAAAGCGGGTGCTACATTTTACAGTGGTATTAAGTGTCGTAATTGTAATTGTGCACCTCTACCTACCTCGGGGATAAAAGTTCTGATGTTTTGATTACGTTACGTTATTTTTTTCGTTTCTAAAATGTTGCAACGTCAAATACCTTTAAATACGGTAACTACGGGTGTTAATGACTTTGAATACTACTGGAATTAGTCAGAACACGTAGTTATTATAAATGTTAATGACGATATGAGGACTTACACAGTCAACAAAAGAAAGATAGAATTACTTTAAGAACTTTCAACATTATTTAAACTGTCAAACACCGCGAGGACACCGGTGACCGTAACCTATTGTTCTTTAATTGTCGCGGAGAACCTAACGGGTACCCGGGGCTCCGGCTCGACGTGCAGGAGAAGGAACGGGGTGGTTTTTAGTCAGTAAGAGTCTGACACTCCCTCCCGCCTCGCCCAGGCGGGAGCAGTCATTCGATGATTTTCCCCCCTTAAAAAAAAAATTGTTCTTTAATTGTGTCTATAATGACGGTACTCAACGAGTTAAACATCATTTTGTGATCGTAATCTTTAAAAATTTTAATACAACATTAGATACGTGAACATTTTCAACAGCACTCACTATATATTATACTTTTAATAGTACCCTATATAACGATGATTTACATAAATATATCTATGGAGCATAGTAGTTATAGCACAACGCAAACCCCGCCTTCATGCCGCCCAAATGATGCCTCCCGAATCCACGGGGAACCAGGGGCCGACCACAAATATATGCAATATTAAATTCATAATACGCACCGACCGTTATATTGTGAATTTTCTTTGTTTCTACTATATTTAATTATTGATTGATTTAAGTGGAAGTTTTCATTACATTAATAGGGAAATTGTATCATCATTCATCATTGATCACATTTTAGGAAATTAATAAAAGATTGCCTCGTTAGCCGAGTGGTCGTAATTGCGACTGGCCAGGCAAGGGGTCTCGGGTTCAATTTCCAGGTCGGGCAAAGTACTACAGGGTTTTTTAAAAATCTCAATAGGTAGCACGGAAGTCTGGAATTGAGTCGGGTATATGGCAATAGGCTCACCCCTCATTACATGGCACTCATAACATAAATAGTGGAAACTGGGTGTTACATTGTACAGTGGTATTAGGTGTCGTAATGCGCACCTCTAACTACCCTTTCAGGGATAAAAAGCGTAAAAAACCTAGTTTTTTACCATCACCTGTCGGCGTTTTACGGCAACGTTCCCTTTAGGCACACCCTGTATACTACCTATTAAGGTAACTATAAAAAGACTTGAAATCTTCGCTACAAATTAGCCATCCCCAACAAGAACAGCATTACATTACATTTAAACTGAAATAATTAAATGCAGTATAAACATCCGTTACCACAAACATATTCAATATATTTGCTCAAACCAAACAATGAAAATATATTAAAAGGAGAGGGTAGTTCACCCTCGGTAGGGCTGCCACGAGCGTGGGAGCGCCCCGTTGACAGTAATTAGGTAACATTGCATGCGCGACACCCCTTGATTGCGAACTAGACGGGGATTAGTGACGGTCGGGCCTGGTTCAAGTAATCTTTGCGAAATCTTCTGTCAGTAAGAAAGTCACCTATTGGTTTCGTTTAAGAAACTGAATCAATGTTTTTTAATACTAGAGGAGTCACAGGTGCGTTGTAGGCTATCGTGAGACATACTAAATTAAGTAAAAACGCGGGTTACTCACGTGAATATACTGAGAAAAGCTCTACTAGTTTCGAACCACAGAGGGGTTCTTCCTCATGCGCAGCTCACCACCTCAGTGAGCTGCGCGACGTCGCCGCGACCGCGCCACCTCAGTGAGCTGCGCGACGTCGCCGCGACCGCGCACGCTGCTCATGAGGAAGAACCCCTCTGTGGTTCGAAACTAGTAGAGCTTTTCTCAGTATATTCACGTGAGTAACCCGCGTTTTTACTTAATTGCGATGTAGGCTGTTTAAAAAGAAATATGCTCTTTTCTTGAACGTTTAGATATTTAATTGGAATTACAGTACACAATTACTTTCTCTTTCAAGGTGCCGTTTATCTTATTCGTTAGGAGCCGATCTCTCGTGTTTACTTGCTAAATTATAGTTATTGTTGCTATCCATTTTTATCGTATTACTAGCTGTTGCCCGCGACTTCGTCCGCTTAGAATAATGACTTCTGGCAGAATTTACGCTTTTGAATTAGTTTTTACATTTTTGTCAAGGGATATTCCACAGTAATGAATGTCGTCAGAATGAATCAATTCCGTAGTTCCGTAATTGATAGCGATTGATGTAGCCTATATGTTGACCCGACTTGTAATATTTATGCAAAATTTGAAGTAAATCCATGCAGTACTTTTTGAAATCATTCCGGAAATACATACAGACAAACAGACAAAAATTCTAAAAACTATATTTTTCGCTTCGATATCAATTGTAGATTACAGTTTGAGAATTTTTTAAAAAAATTGTCAATGTACAGTTATGACTTTTCAACGATTTAATTATTTGTACAGAAAAAGATATCTATAAAATAATTATAATCTAATACCTAATTGGTTACAATTAAGATGAAGTCGGTTAAAAAAAGGTTTTAGTTGCTTATTTAATACAATCATGATGTCGAAAACATATAAAAAACAATTAAATTATTAGTAATTTAATTGCTTTTTTTAAACTCTAGCAAACACAAGAAAATCTGTATGAAATTACTTCAAAAATAAATTAAAAGTCATATAAAAGTTTATTATACCTCTAGAACAAATGAATGCTAATCAAGATTGTTCTACCATACTACCCAGTGGCGTGCACAGGTTTTTGAGACAGGGTAGGCAATTAAATATCGTATGATTAAACCCCTCCCCCCCGGTCATACAATGACAATCATACTCACACAAGACAGGTACCTACATGTACAGAATACATTTTGAAAAGTGCGTTCAAGAATATTGTGGTTTATTCTGTCGCCAAATTACATACACTGACATCTCGCGTATTTTTTGTGAACTACTTCATCAGCTATGGAATAAGCCAACAAAACTTACAATTAATTGAACATCTATTAATTATACTAATAATGAAGCATAAATTTGATGAACCAAATTCAATTATCGAATTGCTAGATAATCTATTCAAAATCATAATATATTACGAATTTAAGAACGTAGGTACCTACCAACAAACAAAACAATAACAAGCGCGGCCGGCTGTGGCCGAGCCGAGTATTTATAAGCGGTACATTTGTTATTACATTACATAATTATTAATAATAAATTAATATGTAAATCAGTACAACCCGAAGTCTAAGTTGATATTTTTAAGAATTATCAAACAAGAAAATCAATAAAAGATCCATTAAAGTACATAATATTTACATTACCTACCTTTGACTTGGGTCAATTCTCGTAACTTGAGTACTGCCTATGGTCATTACCTGAATCTAGTCGTTGTAGGACACATTTTTGCGAAAACTTACTGTTTTTAACTTTCAACAAACACAAAAAATTATCTATTATCAACACAAACTTCACAATCGAATAATATAGGTACTTGTACTAGACACTGATAAACAAATACACTATTTGAAAAACCTACACATACATTTAACTACTTCTACACATATTTATGCAACTTTATGTTTAAAACTAATTCCTTATATTTAAACGAAAACATAAACAAAGCGATCGCACATCACATGAAAACAATATGGCCGAAAACATTGGAATGAATGAACCCATCGTAGTCAATTGAGTGTTTATTATAAAAAAATTATAGCTATAACATTAAGGCAACCCAGTGTTTAATTATAAAAAAACAAAACGTTAATTTACATAAGTCAAATGGAGTTCCGTCATTGTCTTATTATTATTTTCCAATAAGAAACATTCGTTGATAACAATTTGAAACTTTGAGTTATCAAAACGTCAAGTTGCCGCTACTCAAAAGTTATTCCTTTTTACTTTTAAAATAATAAAGTCAACTCCTCGTTTAAAGTTTCTGTAAACCGACAACGCGTAAAAATGTTAAGATTTAATTAAAATACCTGAAACATATTTTTTTAGTATGCATAATTATAAAAAGACATTCGCATTATATCGAACGTGTTCAGAAGTTTTAACAAAAAATTCAATAGATGGCGCAGATTCATAAATTTCAAAGGCCGGCAACAATGACTTTTTTGCGTTTATGAATGGTTATTCTCTGCTGTGACCATAGTCACGTGACCTTCACGCATGCGCGTTGCATACTTTTTGTGACGTCACAACCAACAACCAAGATTTAAGGAATAGTAGCGCATGCGTGGTGCGTGCGGGGCGCATTCATTGCTTTACAAAGGCGTGCGGTCCGTGTATAGTATATGTGAATGTATATTTATGTTAGCCGTTTTTTTACAAACTTTTATTTTATTATTGAATCTTAATAAACGCGTTTGTACATTTTATGTCAAGCAAAGCCTTTTTGCCTATATGGACTGCACGCCACTGATACTACCATAGTATCAAGCACAAGTTTTTAATATTATTTCACTTTTAATATATTAGTAGAATTGCATGAAAGCGAGTAGTAAAAATTATTGCCAATAAACATTCCGAATAGGCTGCGTGCTATGCCTGACGGAACTTACATGTTGTACTGCAATGTCCAATGCAAGTCGGGAAGGAAAATATTTAAATAAACGACTGGTAATTATAGAAAACAAAATGATTTCATTTTTTAGTTGTCAGTTACTAAGATTGAAAACTTTTTTGTGTTGTACCATTTGTGAGAGTACTTAAAATAAATAATAACACAGATCGGGCCCAACCGATGCCGATTCGGAGTCGCGGAGAACCTAACGGGTTACCGGCTCGACGTGCAGGAGAAGGAACGGTGTGGTTTTTAGTCAGTAAGAGTCTGACTCTCCCTCCCGCCTCACCCAGGCGGGAACAGTAATTCGATGATTTGCTTCCTTAAAAAAAACCGACGGGATTCTTAATTGGAATACTGATTTTTGTTTTATTAAAATTCGATAATTATGTGTATGTATTTGCAAAGTTAAAAGAAACACACTTTTGTAAATAATACTCTCCAATTTCTAAATATTTACGAAAGTAGTGAGAACCAATTTCTCAAAACATATCGTCGCGTCGCGTCGCCGTCTCCCAGTCGTTACAATCAATGGACCACTCGACCACAATTGAATCAACGCCTCGCCTTTTGTGCCTTTTACCGGTCCCTTGAACAATCCGCACTGCACTTTACTTTATTAATGTCCATTCTATCAGCAAATAAATAAACAATATTTCTTCTTTGCAGACTTGATAAAAATGTCGAACAGTGTGAAAAAAGAAAGTGATCAAAAGCAAGATGATTACAAAATCCAGTGAACCAAAAATTCACTACATCAACATTTGAAGATGGAGGCCGCTTTGCCACATTTCCATCGTCTGACGTCATCACGATTTTACCAGCAGTATGCAGCTCCACCAATTCGCATCTCTAGTAACTACCTCCACGATCTCATTCCCCAACAGCATCCGACACTCCTCCAGCAATATTTGGCTTACTATAACGAACCTCTTGTGCCCCTTGACTTGTCCATCAAAGCCACTATACCGATTACCCCTCCGTGCACGCCACCACCTGCCCACCACCCACAAAAAAGAAAAGCAGTCGACGACAACAAACCAGACAAATCCCCAAAAATATTTCGACATTTTGAAGATAATGATACCAAAGAAGAATCACAAGATAAAACAGATAAACGGAAACTAGACGATGAAAATTCTAACGACAGTGATAGTCCTGAAGTCAAGAAACTAAAGTTCACCCAACAGTTTTTTGAAGAACTCAAAACATGTTTACCGCAAGAAGAAGAAACAACACCATCTAAAAGTGGCAGAAGCTCACCAGACGTTGTCGAGATAAAGGATTTAGAAGAACGACCTAAAAAGTCTCCAAAACCAGCTCAGCAGCCAACTAAAAAGAGCAAAGCCGTAAGAAGGCTTATGTTTGACGAGGATAAGACATCTCCTGTCTCCGGCACTATCATACGAGATCTGGCTGAAGATGAAACTCTAGTCGTTCGAAAGGTAAATAATAACCACTCCGCATAAGTAGTTTAGTCGATATAGGAAAAAGTTCCCCACAACTGCAAACAAAGTCTAATCACACATACGTATCTAAAATAAATGGCAAAGTTGCACAGGAACTATTAATTAGACGTTCTTACCATACCATTACAGCGCTGCACGGCGACTTTCCTTATCGCTTTAGCAATTAAACAGGTACGAAATCGAGTATTGTGCTGTGTTTTGCACTAATAACAGGTCTAAGGGCGCACCGCAACGCTTACTGCAGGGGTGGGCCCGAAAACATTAAATACAAAATAAATCGCCATTTCAATACTACCGTACCTTTTCTTTGAAGATAGAGAACTGTAACGTTCTATTTAGACGTAATAAAGTTGCTAATAACGTGCAATTACTTAATAGTCGTAATTGATGGTGTGATAAGAAATCGTTTTAGTAGTAAATGTTGCTTGCATGCTCATAATTGTACTTTTTCTAGGGAGACATTGATCCAGCGTTTAACGTGGTCGAAGTGACTGACGAGGCGAAAGCTTTGATAGCTGCTATAGAGAACAGGCTGGGCCGGTACATTTGCAGGCTGTGCCGACGACTGTACAGCGACGCCTTTGCGTTGGCGCAACATCGATGCTCTCGAATCGTGCACATTGAATATCGATGTCCCGAATGCGATAAGGTAACTTCTACCAAATATTTCATTTAACCAATAAACGGTCCACGATATTATCCATATCTGTTGATTGTTTTTATCTAACAACATTCCCACGTGAAATATTGAATTCTAATTGATAACAAAACACCCTTCTATTTATGACATCCCAATACATTTGTCGTGTATTAATTAAATTGCATTTATCACTCTTATTAGATAGGTGGTCCATAATTCTGGTTATTTTTTTTCGTGGGAACGTGGGTGCGAGGGTGGCTTACACTTGGTATGTTTCCATGGGAAGCCGGCACAAGTGGTGACACGAAATGTTTGTACAAGGGCATCTGTTAATTGAGCCGTGCGGTGATGCGTGACGGGTGAATATTAGCACTTATCTTTGGATGAGCAATTTGTAAAGTATTAATGTATATCTTAGTTAGGGGTTGTTTTAGGACACTGCCAATTATTTTCAAGATTTTCCAATTGTTAATTTTTTTTGTTTCATTATTGTCTAGGTATTCAACTGTCCCGCTAACTTGGCATCTCACCGGCGCTGGCACAAGCCTCGGGTAGCTGGTACAGTGAAACGCCGTGAGCCAAATGCAGCTGATTCTGGTCGCTTTCCTTGTCAGAGATGTGGCAAAATGTTCCGAAGACAGGCTTATCTTAGAAAGCACATGTTGGCTCACGAACAGCCGGAGAATGAACCTGAGAAGGAACCTTCTGCATTTCGGCAGGTTCATGCTGAATATCCTACTTATCAACCGGTGAGTCAATCATCTCGAATAATATCCTAATGGTAAATAGTTTTCTGATCATTCGTTGCTAATTTAAGAATTTCAAAACAGGACGTGATCCGTGAGACCAGCTTCAATAACTTCTGGAACAAAATCCCAGCTCCTCAGCATGAGTTGAACTGGGAGGGAGTGCGTCCTAGATGTGGTTCGTCATGTTCTTCGGAGGATTCGCGGAGTTTGGATGTGACGGGTTCGGAGGATGAAGGAGGGGGCGGGGGGGTAATGGATGGGTGACGGAGGGTCCTGCGACCCGTGCCGCGGCTTCCACCGTATGCACCGGTCGCCACTGCCCTCTACCCGTACTCCACGCCGTACGCGCATGACGCACACATGTATTTCTCTTAAATGGGTAAGTCACCCACACCCAGGTAGTCTTGGAAATGAATTTTTTTCCAAAATATAAATGATACAACATCTATTGAAAAAATATCATTAATAGGTCTTCTTTTAGTAGTTTTGCCTAAACATTATCTTATTATTATAACATCATATATGTAGATTTCAAGTATTAATATAAATATCTGTATATTCCTTTGTATATAGGTGTGATGTGTGTTTTAGGATTTAGGAATAAATTGTAAATATTTATGATCTCCTGCAGCACATTCCAAATCATTAAAGCACGTGAATGTCAAACATTTTGCGTGTAATTTTTTAAATAATATATTCTGTGTTTAGTAGTCGTAAAATAAGATTTTATTAGATATATAGCAGTATAATAGTATTTGTAGGACTAAAAAACTCAATATGCATTCATATTTCGTAGCTAAAAATGTTAGTTGGTGTATTATCTTGTAATAGTATTACAGTATTGGCATTATGTTCGATCGTTCGTTACCTGTCAAAGGGTCACCGTCATCGATCGTTGCATGAGCATATTTTTAGATGCAGTGGCTACCACGGCAGGCTACCATCGTGCCACAAACCCTCATTATTATTTCAAAGTGAACAATTCATAGGAATTGAGTCCACCCCTAACTGGGACGTCTTCAAACCATGATACAATATAGATTACAGATTATTCGATTACTATTTATTTCGATTTCACGATAATAACATAGCATAAATTTCAATTGTTATTTAATTCACCGTCATAATAAAATAGCTTATATTTTTAGTATCACCAATCACAATACTTTTGCATACAAATTAACCACGATATCTAGTCATCCGAAACCCAAATGCATATTATACAACATCCGATTTGGACATTTTGAGAGCGGAATTCAAATTGAATAGCGGCATATTTCTATTTCACGTGTTTCCATATTAATGAATCTTTATTTTAATTAATTAAAATCGTGGCTTACGCACGTGAATATACTGAGAAAAGCTCTAAAAAAAGTGAGCTGCGCGACGTCGCCGCGACCGCACGCGCTGCTCATGCGGAAGAACCCCTCTGTTGTTCAAAACTAGTAGAGCTTTTCTCAGTATATACGCGTGAGTAACCAGCGATTTTAGTTAATATAATATGTCTTACGATAGTTATTAGAAAAACAATCTTAATTTTCTCATAATTTACAGACCTTGAATTACTATGCTTATATTAATCACCAATTTTTCATATATTCATCGTTCTTTGTTATTTTTTCTTTTATTTACATGTCTGTTTTTATGGACGTACATATTAATGATTTTTTGTAAAAGATCAAAGCTATAAAATGTGGTCTTAGCAATGGATTAGCGGTCAAGGAATGTATTAATTTTCTAATTTTATCAACAATGTGTAATATAGACAACAATAGCCAATGCCGTATCTACGTCAGTATGATGAAGGCAATACGAATTTTGCATAAACAAATATACAATAAAATACCGAAATATTAACATTTTGAGTCATAAATTAACACTTTTTTGGTCATTTGTTCTGATCTCATAGTACTTTAGTATTCGAAATATTATTTATTTCATATTTAATTTTAGTTATAATAAAATAAATTAGTCAAGTCTTTAGTCAAAATTCTAGTCTTTTTTTAGTTTACCTCTACTTAGAATCGATGTGAATTAACGTACATCGGTGTATGAATAATAATAATTTATTGTCAAATTCTTTTTGTTCTTTTTTTCTAGTCAATTAATATTATTTTACCTAGTCATTTATTTAAGTACAATTAATTTTGGTCTCAATAACACTGCGTAGTCAATAACTTCTAGTCATTTTAGAATATGAGAATATGGAAAACTATTTTTAATAAGTATTTATATGTATACAAAGAGAATTACGATTAAAATTTTAAAACTCAATCTAGTCTTACAACGTTTTCTAGTCAAATGAACTCATTTATTTTATTTTAATTTAGCATAGAACTTAAATTAGGTCTATTTAAATTACGATTTACCAAAAACTTATAAATCTAGTCGAAACATGTGTCTAATCTAGTCAGAACTACTTAAGTATTAATTATTTCTAGTCAAGAGTAAAAAAACCTAGTCAAAAATTAAAAGTCTAGTCATAAACCAAATATGTTTAAGATCTCTATCTACATGTCTAGTCAATCACATATCGTCAAATAAGTAAAATAAAAAAAAACGCCAAATCAAAAAAATTAAATTTCCATTGCTGATCGTGTCAACTAATGCCGCAAATTCCGAATACCTACTAAAACATAAATAAATTAATATTAAAAGAAAAATATAAACAAAACGAAGTCGGGATAAGAATAGAATTATAGAGGTATATTCACATAAATTTGAACAAAGTCGATGATCTGGTGTCCTTTGCATATTTAAATATAGGTATATAAAAAATACAAATAACATTGAAATAATGCCAATACGGAAAAAAAATTGCAATACAAATACTTATACAATACACAAATATGTATAAAATATTAATATAAAATTGACACTATTTTCATTAAGACAATTTAATTTTGTCCCATTATATGCATTTCATTTTGTATTACCAACTGTAAAATATGTAATTAATTTAATTATTCATATTTTACGTAATTACATATAATATATCATTTTACGTTAAATATTCAAAACAAACATAATTATTAGTCACAAAATAATAAAAAATAGTATTTTAATATTGTATACGAATATGAATCTGAATTTGTCATTTTAGCATTTATTAGTGTAATTGTAAATCTAGAATATAGAGAATAGAGTAGTTCTTTATTAATATATTGTACGATAATCTTATATTTTAGAATACTATTTCATAAAATGAAATTATACAACTAAATTATATAGTAGTCTAAGGAAACATAGATAAATTTATTTATAAATATAAAGATTTATCTCCACGAGTAAAGTCTAGTCAGTGTGTCTATTGAAACGCGTTCCAAAGATGTACATATTAATAAAACGCTAATATATTTTAAGAATTATTATTAATTTACTTAAATTATTTCACAAATAAGAGAAATTATTTTTCAATCAATACAAATATTTACATTTTTTTATTAAATTTATTTGTAACATTTTTTACATAATCATAATTTGTAATTCCGTAATATATTGAATGTATAATGTAAATACATTTCTTTCTTTTTCTATATCTTTATAATGACACTTAAAATATTAAGTAATATATCTATTGACGTAGAAAATGACATATATATATATAGTATTATTTTAAGTTTTGTATAATGATATTATTCTGAGAACAGCATATATACAATAACCTATGTACATTAAAATCAATATATTATTATTTTATTATAGAGCTATTTTTACGCAAGTCCCGTATTTATAAGATTAATTAATATAATTAAATAATAATGTATGAAGGTCATTGTAATATTATTATTTATTTAATTGTAGTTCGTCAACATTTTCAGTTACGTAATATAAAATGTTTATGTATGTGATACGTCACAGTACGTAATACTTTTACTACTAATGAGAATGAAAAAAGATGATTTTTTGACGGCATTTTTGATTTCTTTCTTTGTCATATTCCCAATATGTACTGTAGATGTATAGTATAGTATTTCTGTAGATGTATAGTCATGCGGTAAAAATTAATAACTGATCTCCAAACTAAACCCAATATTTTTGAATTATGATAAATTTTTGACATTATCTATATGATCAGAAACTTTGATTGAGGTTTTCGATTGAGATCAGTTATTTATTTCGTCCGTGTGTAATTAGTTTTACAAATATTGATCTCTCTACAATAATATAACATACAGAGACATACATATCTCAAATGATAACTTATTCAATTGTATAACTTGAATTTTATATAATAAGGTAGATTACTACTATTTATTTTAATGTCCGTCTGGTAGATTATTTTAAAACATTACACACGTATTTTTAATTTTCTTACGAAAACAAATACTTTCAACGATATATTGATTTGAAATACCTACCGCGTGACGTCACTTCTATGTATGTACGTTTTATACGTAGAAATGACGTTTTAGCTCCCACACCTAAACTTAGATTCTTTTTATTTGAGTATTATTTCCTTCTACGATAAAGTAAAAAATACGTGTCTAATATTTTTTCATTACCTAACTAACGGATTAAATAGACTTTTAATTTTTATACCCCGTCATCATCCCTATTGTAGTTTAAAAAAATGATATAATATATTAAGATAAACAAACAATATTATCGGAATGCTACGCGACAAAATTTAATATATTGCCAAAGCCTACCAAAGCCTTGTGTTCTTTTAAGATTATATACGGTCACCAACCTATTTGCTATATAGATAAGAAAATAAGTTATTGGCTTTCATTGAAAAGCGTAGAATTTACTGTAACGACAACTGTGTCTGTAAGACAATCTTCATTTCTAATCAGTATCTATACCAAATATGTCTTACCTGCCTCTTACGTTATAATGCGGTGAAATCCATAATGCTGTATTTTTTACCCATATATATCTGAAAATCTTGTCTTGATCTGTTTATACCTTTCTGGAAACCTCCACGACAAATTTTATTCTCTGTCCGATCAGACTTCTGTTTACCTATGGCTATGCGTTGTTTTGGTCCTTCAGTGTACCTTTACAGGTATTTAATTAGAAGAATTATAGAATTTTTAAGGATGAGAAAGCCATTCTTCTGCTTGAATGGGCTGGCTCATCCGGAGTGATACCACGACCACCATCAAGTGATCCATCTGTTCGTTTACCGTTTCTATTAAAACGTAATCAACGCCTCTTATGTATATAGAAGCAGTTCAAAATTTTGTTATGTCCCGTCAGTGGTGGTTCATGATAATGATAAAACAAGCATTCCAATAGTAATTGTTTTAAATTAATTTAGAGTATATTTGTAGTAATAAGATTTCATTATATTACTAATTAATGTATTTAATCTGCACTCTCGTACCTTATATTAGATATAAGTAGCTTGCACTATGTACTTAGATTGTCAAAATATTTAATATTTAAAATATTGTAGAATTTAGTTCCATGTATGTATGTAGTTAGATATTTATGAGACATTGAGAAATTAATAAATTATGGAAATCACAATGGCTTCTTTGTTTCCTACTTTAAGATTTTTTATTTATTGTAGCAAAGACATAGAGTATGCATACGCAAATGGTTACGTCATATTGCCGTGTTGATTGAGTGGTAGTATGTCTATTGAACGAGGTTTTGGGTTCGAGGCCCGATTCGTTTCGCAGTGTTTGGTCGTCCAAATATTTCGCTGCTTCACCGTTCAGTTCACATAATAAGATAACTTAAACTAGTCTCCTAAAATAACTCACGGGAGAAAAGGGGAATCAATAGAAGCTTTCTACTTAACCCCTAAGAGATTGATAATTTTTTTAAACCACTTATTTATTGAATCGATTCCGATGACGTTTGCTAAAGTCATAGAATATGACTTGGATAAGACCAATTCAAAACCTCAAATTCTGCCAGACGTCGTTATTTCATGCGGACGAAGTATTAGGGGAAAGCTAGTGCTATAGGGTAAAGTCACCAGTTTGTGTCCACCATGTAGTTTGCGCCCATGTTATGAAGCACACTATAAAAATTCCCAAAGATAAGAAAACTATCTACCACCAAATTAGTAGTAGCTAGTACACATCTATTTCATCTTAGTATCTAACATTAATTGCAATCCGTAAAATGGATGCAAACTGGTGGGTGGACGCGAACTGGCGAATTTTGGTGGGTGGACGTGAACAAGCGATCTTACCCTATGTATGAGTAGCAAATATACGCATAAAAGCGCTGCTAGATAGAGTAAGTTTCAATCTTGTTTTATTTTGGTTTTATAAAGGGTCACTCAAGTGATGATGACAAAGTGGAATACATTTGAAACCCTCGCCTCTTTCCGCGGGTATTGTAAAGTACTACCATACATGCACTATATATTTGACAGAGATCAGAAAGCAGCGTTCTCTCATAAACTGAATCTTTTAAAGTGCGACCAGTCCACCTGACAAACGTGGAGCTTAGCTCTTAAGGCTTATGGTCCAACACTGGGCTATGAGCCATAAGACCTTACCACAATATGCGCTGTTGATGTGTAGTTTATAAAAAGTACAGAACGTACCCAATCGAAATAATATTAACAGCACGCGGTTAACGACATCTATGAATTTAAAACGAAAGCTGACAAAGATCCTATACATGTAGGGTGTGATCGAATCCTATTTTATACCAAAGGTAAGGGTGATGTTGTCTCTCCAACTTTCATGTTTTGCGACAGATGGCGCCTATCTATAATATTTTCAACAGTAACACACACTTTTTAGCAGTTATGTTATGAGTCCCATGTAACTCTGTACCAGTATACCGGTACATCGGTACCGGTACAACGGTACCGGTACAACGGTTTTCAATCTCCGTGCTACCATTAAGAATTTTCAGTAAACCGAAAAAAGCCACTATATTACTATCCACTCGTAAATCGACTTCAACAACGAGGAAGACAAATTATTCATAAAAAAATAAAGAAATGAAAATTTGTGTTGCACGCCTACCTATAATAAAATAGTATAAAAAATAAACATAATTTATTATTTCATGTTTATTATAGTAATAAATTATTAGCAAAAAAATTATAAAAAAAAATAGCCATTGACTACAGAAATATATAGGTAACCTTCTCCAATAATAGATGCAAGAAGACATTATATATGTATTTACATTATTATTCAAATCATATTTAAAACATTACATAACATATGGTATAAATGGTTTTACGAATTTCATTTAAATTTTATTAAAAAAATCTTTTGCCTACAACGTTTAATTTCGTTGTTAAAAAGACGTCGAACATTACGACTCGAAAACTTCCTGAAACAATCGTTACGTTAGACGTCACTTTATCACAAAATATTTTTCTCTTACCTTCATAATATCATTATTTACACGACATTAATGTTTACCTTCGCCGACCTTCAGTATAAATTAAATAATTGAATAAAATTAAAAATCTGCGTTTAAAAAAACCGACTTCAAAAAAATAAAGACAATCGAAAAGTAAAAACTAAAAAGAAAAAAATAACTATTATTGGTCATACGTAGATACTTATAGCTTACACACCCACTGATAGGTTAGAAGTCGGTGCCACAACAAAATTATTCATTAAACCCTTTAAGCTGTATACAATTTTATTATGGATTATATCAGCTGTGATCATTAACTACTTTATATTTTGTTATGGGTTTGTGGCACCGACTTCTAATCTATCAGTGGGTGTGTAAGCTATAAGAATCTGCGTATGACCAATAATAGTTATTTTTTTTCTTTTTAGTTTTTACTTTTCGTTTGTCTTTATTTTATTGAAGTCGATTTTTTTAAACGCAGTTTTTTATTTTATTTTATATACTTTTTAGTTTAGTACTTTGATATATTATATAGCCGCCGAGGAGTTCCCTCAACTATCGTACTACTTCATAATCTGACCTTTATTGACAATTACACCCCACCTAGATGTAAAGTCCCCATCAATACAAATTTATCAAACCCAAACACAAGGTAGCTACTGTTAACCGTTGAGGAGTTCCCTCGACTGGCTCTCGGCTCCATCATTAGATCGACTCCAAACCTTTATCAGATGGTAGTGGTTTTTAATATTTATTGAAAAAATTAACAAATTCACTAGTCGCCCCTATAATTTTTAAAAGTTTCCCTCGGTTTCCCTGGTCTTCCATCATCAGGTCCTGATTTCCTTATCATGGGACCATTTATCGAAATCGGTTCATAAATAACGGAGATTTCGGCGAACAAATATAAAAAAACCTCCTCCTTTTTTGAAGTCGGTTAAAAAGAAATGTAGTCATGCACATGCATGACTACATTTCTTTTTCCATTCTTTTTCCATTTATTTCTTTAACCACATGGTTATGAAAACAGAACTTTCAGTGACAATGACCACCTTTGTAACTACTCGATTCATCTCTATGTAAAACATGATATGCCACTAGCATAAAATGTCATTGAAATTCAACATTTACGAATGTAAAACTAAATGGCTCCATTACCACCATGAAGAACATATTTACACAATGACGGATTTTTGATAAATATATAAGCGCATGAGGCTCTTATGTATTGCGTCGCATAATGTCGTAAAGAACTGTCGTTTGTATACACCTGATACAAAGCTAAGAAAAAAATACAGAATACAATAATTTTCCTATACTTTGGCGTGTCTCGAGTTCATATACTTACTTATTTATTCCATGGGATGTGCCGTGATCACAATGGAAACTAATTACTAATTACAAAGTATTGCCTGACATTGATTATGCAATGTTATTGTTTTATAAGCAAACCTAGCCAGTTCTAAGCTTCAGCTCATTGAATGACAGACAGTAAACAATGAAGCACACATTGATAATATTTTTAATAATACTTATAAATAAAACTAAGTGTAATGTGACTGCTAATGCTAAAAATGTGGGCGAAGGAGGTGTTTCGACCACACGACTACCGTCAGAATTTTCTGGGAATAAAAATCTAAGTGACAAAAAGCTCGAGTCTCCGATAAATGTGGGGGATGGTGGAAGTAGTGTGTATCTGGATGATGTGATATTTGCTATGAAGAATCAGAACTGGACTGCAGAAGAAAAACCGTGTTTGGATCATATCTACCGTTTGCTCGCTGGCTTGCAGAATTTTACTCTTTGGGCTGTTTGGGGTAAGTTTTGACAATTATTTTTATATTAATATCTGTTAAAAATTATTTGCATGTAAGGGTGTAAACGGAACGCTCTCGAAAAACACCAACAAATATCTAAGTGTTTACAATTTAAATCATTTTTGTTTAATCTTATTATCTTATTGCATACATATGCAACATCAACCTTGACCGTTTGATTACAACAGTTATTACATAAAAGAATCATTTAATTCCTTAAAAAAATTAAAACAAAACTTATTTTTGACCATCGCCTGTCGTCGTTTTTTGGGAGCGTTCTGTTTACATCCTATATAACGGACAATTTCAATAACTCATCTATCTATAGATAGAATTTTCACTTGCCTGCGGACGGCGAGCACGGGTAGCTCGCCACTCGGCGCATCGCGTTCCGCGCGCTTTAGAACCACCACGGATGGGGCCCAATAGAGCTGATGCCGATACGGAGCCGCGGAGAACTTAACAGGGTACGGAGGCTCCGGCTCGAAGTGCAGGAGTAGGAACGGGGTGGTTTTTAGTCAGTAAGAGTCTGACACTCCCTCCCGCCTCACCCCCACCTTAAAAAAAAGAACAGATAGAATTCTTTTTATTTTTATCAAAATTTCTAGTAAGCAAATCTATTAATAGACAGGTTATTGCAATTAGTAAGTGTATAAGCTTTACAATGAGACATTAAAGAGTTCGTAAATTATATGGTGAAACTGATACGCATGATTAAAATTATTACTGATGTCGTACTATTACATTACTGACTGCTGATCAACCTACACGTTTATATTAAAAAACTTCTGTTGCAGTAAATCTCAATACAAACTTAAGCCTTAAATATACTAAATCGACACTTAGTAATGTCTTTTAAAACTTCCCCTGCCGTTATCACGAATCCTTTTTAAATTACGTATTTCATAATCAAATTCTAGTGTTTTCTACGTGATTCAGGTCAGTAGGTATTAAGTTTCAAACGGGTGACATACAATTATTAGTTTTAAATTATAACACAAATATATATTAAATAATCAAAAACTATCTTATTTCGATTTTATGGCTTGCAAGTAATAATATATGCAAGTAATAATATATGCAAGTAATAGTATAACTTTACATTTTATTTCCCACTTTAATTTAATAATATTCTTGAATTGAAACGCAGTCATGAAAACATTGCGCAAAATCTAGACATACATTATTAAATTATTTTCAAATTTTGTTTATGTATTTTTTAGAACAAAATCCAAAAATTTTAGCACATCATTGCCATTATAAAGTAAGAATGAATAATTACCCAAGGTCTAGGATTTGTCTCCGTCGTCAGACAAATTTTTATTAAATGTACAATAAAATTCATTTTAGTGTGTAGGTACCTATGTTTAATAAGCTTCTTAGTAGAAATCAGTTAAAAACTACTGCAAATGTACCAAAACTATTCTCCTGTTATATTATGAACCCCATGTAACATCTATCGAGGCTATTATTTAGTCCAATTTCAATTTAGTAGTATCTCCGTGCTACTGAAAATGACCCCAGATTTGAACATCTTTATGATAGCGGTCAAATAGATCAATAACAATTAGTATTGTTATTGATTAAACTGAGTAAAACGAAATATTCTATAGATGTTCCTTTTTAATATACAAACAATTAAATAAATAAAATAAATAGTACAGTCTTTCATAGTAATACACTTCTACATTTCTAATAACATAGGTTTCCTTGATATTCATAAAAATCTATATTTACATAACATAACATAACATCACGCCTTTTATCCCCGAACGGGTAGGCAGAGGTGTACATTATGCCACTGTACAATGTAACACCCACTTTTCACTATTTATCTTATGAGTCCCGTGTAATAGGGGGTGAACCTATTACCATATACCGTGCACAATTCCAGACTCCGTGCTACTATTGTAAATTTTTTGAAAACCTCAGAAATACTTTGCTCGACCCAGGAATCGAACCCGAGACCACTCGGCTAATATATATATAAATCAATTTCCATTCATTGGTGTCGTTAAAACTCGAGAACGTCTGAACTGATTTGGCTTATTTTGGTCTTAAAATGATTGTAGAATTCTAAGGAAGGATTAAAAGGTGAAAAATATATATACACTTCCAATTTAGATTCCACACCTTCATTTACCTTATCTTTTGTACACAGAATGGGACGCCCAAGCATCAGAACCACAAGGTCTTTTATTTGGCAATCGCTACCAGCTTGGTAACTTCGACCAGTGTATGAAAGCACCCTGGTCGAGGACCCATCCAGAGTTGAAGACCAAATACTGCCTCGCTGAGATACGTCTGGAAAGAACAGATAAAGCTGTGAGAAGACGAGTAGACCGACCTACTTATCCTTATCAATCTGCGCTGGATTATATTGAGGTGAGAATAACTATCAAACTTTTATATTTTGTCGAAAAATCACGCCTTTTAGCCCCGAATAATAT